CTTGTCATTAATCAGCCCGAGGCGTTTTTTGATCAATGTTGCAATCAGTTGCTGAGGTCGTCGCTGATACTCAGCTAGAACTTCATGGGAGGCTTTGATCTGATCTCCTTCAAGACGATTAAGGAGAGTCACACAGATTACTGCAGCTTGAAAGCAGGGGAAAACGGAGGGGGAAAAAGTCAACTTTGTTTTTATAACAGCTATGTTCATAATCAGTATAAATTTTACTGCAAGACTGCAAGTGCTATAGTAGAATTTTAGTAAACAACTTTCAAATTAAGGGATAACTGTTGTAGACCTACAGTATAAAAACATTGCTAGGACTGTCAAATAGGTATTTACTGTACTTCAAAAGGAAAACCAAATCATTACATTGCTACCTTTTAAAACACCTGTATGGCTCTTAAAAACATATGTTGTTTTTACTCAGTTTAAAGCAGGTGCATAACTGGAGCCCCCAACGAATTCTTCGAATCTCAACAATTCTTCAAAACTCAACTAGGATAATAAGAGTGTTGGTAAGGAAGTTTTAAAACCCCTCCCAAGAGTTTGGAGGCTCCCATGGCAAGTTTTACTGCATCTACAGTATCTGTGATTGGAATGTTTTAAGAGACTAAAATAAACCATGGAGAAAAATAGTACTTAAACTTTCCCCATAAGTCATGTTTTTGGTCGGAACTGCCCGTGTATATATATATATAAATATACAGTACTGTGAGAAATAAGAATAGATTTTATGAAAATAGAAATATCATGTATAATAAACGCTGTTGTTGAGTGTCCTAAGTTATTTGCCACAGTAGAGCAAGGGTGGGCAACTTTTGAGGGGTCAGCAGCTGCACTCAATATTTTTGGGGAGGAAAGGGTTTCAGAGTGGGTAGAACTGCACCATCCCATACGGGAATGAAAGTGGATCTGGAGGGGGTGCTTTGATTTGTAACTCTGAGGTGCTTAGTTTTAGTTCAGATTTTACACGATAGCTTTCATCTAACTCAACTCAAAATGAAAGGATATTACTCTCTGTTTTCAGCAGCATTTTAAATGAAAACAGTTGTACACTGCCCCGAATGCCAGCACCAATGGAGAACCCTTTGCAGTTTCTAAAAAGATGAAACAAAATGCATAAACATACGCAAGCGCAGCACACACACAACACACACAGGGAGTGGAAACTTTTCTCAGGCTGACTTGAAAAGCTTTGGCTCTGCTAAGATTGCTATTTTTCCCATCCTCCATTGTCCATCCCACACAGTCCCCAAGAACCAATTTAAAACATCCCTGTCACCAGGAGCAGTTTTTGTCTGTAAAAGCATAGCTTTTGCACCTGCATTTTCAGCCCCCAAATTATTGTAGTTCTCCATCAAACCAAGCAGTAGAAATGGCATAAAATGCTGCTTAGCATTTGAGGTGTCAGCAATCCAATTTTAGACAGCAGGCTGCTAGGACTGAATTGCCTTTCATGCCAAAGAGACCTCCTATTTTACAAAACTTAAATGGGAGTGAAACTCAGGGGTATTGTGGGAAATACTGCAGAAACAGCTGGTTCCAAGCCCACTTTTCCAGTGTCACTTTGAGTTGGGGCCTAGACAGCTGACATCAAGCAAAGGAGAAAGGATCCAACATGCATACATACAATAGCAGTAGCACTTAGAGTTATATACCACTTCCTCACAGTGCTTTACAGCCCTCTCTAAATGGGTTTACAGAGTCAGCATATTGGCCCCTCCCAAACAATCTGGGTCCTCATTTTACCAGCCTCGGAAAGGATGGAAGGCTGAGTCAATCTTGACTCCTGTCAGGATGGAACTCCTGGCAGCAAGCTGCATTTGTCTGCAATACTGCATGCTAATCATTGCTCCAGTAAGTATATATGTGGATGTCAATGCAGCAAATTAACTCTGTCAATCTGATGGCTATATTGCAATTAAACAGCTGATGCCTTTGTAGGAGATTGAGAATGAGTCTCAGGTAAGAAATAGTAACACAGGACAGTGAAGTGAAAAAGTGGACAAGTGTTTGGCTTGGCTTACTGTGAGCTCAGCCATTATGATTTGTAAATTATGAATTTATGACTTAGCATATTGCCTGAACTCAGTTGCTCATGGCTTAATGAATCATCTAAGTGTAAGCCATGCTATTTTTCTTTTTTTTTCCCCAAAAATTTTATTAATTTTTTAAAAAACAAACATACAAACCAAACACAAAATATGAAAACATCTTTTTTGAAAGCAGCTTGATCTCGGGTTACATCTCTTCGTACAGACATAAATTCAAGTTCATGCTCACTTTTATATACCACTCCATATCTTATTACCATTCTACATTTTCTATATAGCTTCTCCCCTCTTTTCATTCTCTTAATTCTATTTTATTTATTTCATCTCAGTTTAAATCATTATACTTATATCCTTTGTCTGTCCTGTTTAAACTGTCTATTATCTTTTCTCATTTACACAAAATTTCTCCTGTAATCACTGATTGGAGTGTGACGCCTTTATATCTTTCCCCTAAATTTAACACTTCATATAATACATAGCTTTCACTTGGATTCTGCTTAGTACATTCTAAAGCTACACACTATATTTTAAGAAAAGAAAAAATTATAAATATATAATATAATTAAAACAACAATCCATATCAATTGAACTCTATCGTTAAAATTAATATTCATTTAAATCTTAAACATTTTACACATTCCTTTTCAAATAGGTATCTTGTTCACCTTTTCTGAGAGACTTCACAAAAGAAATGGAGAATACCTCTAATGAGGTAGACCGAGGTAATTACCCCACCCATTCTCCTTCTTTTCCGATGAAGCCTCAGTATATGAAGCTCCAGCACAATCCAGCTATCTTTAGGATACACCGGCCATTCAGGTTGAAGAGTCTTACGCTCTCCATAGGAGACTTCTAGTCACAGGAGGAAGAAGAGCAAAATGAAGCCCTACTAGAGAGTCCAGGTGATGAAGAATAGCATGAATCATAGAGCTGAACTGGACCTCATTGGTCCCCGATTCTAGTCCTGAAGAATTCTAAATTCTAAGCAGAGACTCTCGGTTGCCCGAGTAAAGAAACAGCATCTGCCTTAATGAGCATCATCTCCATACGGTGGAAGGAAAATCAGACAAACAGAGAAGCTGCAGAGAGATTAGCCTTAGGCAGGATGATCTTCTCAGGTTGTTTTTTTAAGTAACTAGGCTCTGATAAACAGAGCTAATGAGTGCAGGCTGTGCTCAGGATATTTCTAGTATTTAAGCCCTGCCTGAGGGTACTCAAATACTAGAATAACTTCTCTGATTTTGTGAACAAAGTTCCTTGGAGAACTTGGATTCCTCACCAGACTGGCTTTCTCTGCTTTACCCACCCAGTAATAAACTTTAGTTTATTGATCTCAGACAGAACTGGATTTGTAGGTGTGATTTCAGCTGTAAGCATCTCTGCCAATTTATGATCCTGGAGTAATAATAACTTTGTTAAAGCCATATGGGTTAGGTAAGGAAAACAAAATAGATTGAATAAAAACCAAATGCTTTATGCTGGATCACAACATTTCCTACGGGGTTTTTCAGTACAGCTAAAATATTATACAATATTATTTACTGTATAATATGTTATGTTTTAATAATATCTAGATTTTTTTTCTCTAGATCTCTTTGCTCCAGTGATCATTTAGATATGATAGCTTTACTATGCACCTTTGTAAGTGCTTTATACAATGTTACCTAACACTGTATCTCCAGATTTGCAAAAGTATTGCAGTGTGTGGCTGAATTACACATGTAAAAACATAGTTTGTTCTTCAAATTATAAGTAGCAAGTGGACAACATATCTGATCCAAGGTTGTGTGAATCAATACCTTTCAACGGGAACACTTTTTTTTCCTTTTCTGAATAATGTAGCAAAACTAAACACTAGTAGTGGGTGCAGAGGAGCCAGTAAGAAAGGCATGAGAGTCTAAGTCATCAGAGGAGAGATTTTTGGAAGATTTTCTGTGGCTGAGCAACTTTGCCAAGGGAAAATTTGGACAGCACTGAGTATAACTATGTAGTTGAAAATGCACTGCCTCTTTAATTAAGCTGCCAAGGTGCCTGAAGGCAATGCTGAAGAAGCTTCTGGACCTCAAGAGTTCACCCTCTGAGTTACTATTGTGTAAGGTTATTATCTGTGTAAAATTGGCTGTATATCTAAAATGGTTATTTTCCTGCAAGTAATAGTGCACAGATGTTCTGAGCTTTGGTCCCTCATACGGGAAGATAAAGTCATGTTACCTGCTCATAAATAGAAATACCTCAGTTTGGCAGTAGGCTGGGTTGAAAGGCCTTAGATAGGAGATAGAAAACGCCCCACTTGAGTCCCAATGTTTGGGAAGACCGCAGAGAAGAGTTTCTTAAACTCAAAAGACTAGTCTCTCTCTCTCCTGAAACTAAAACAAAAAGCAGGACTACCCAGGGGAGGAGAACCTCCCAGAAGTCCAGGGGTGGGATTCAAATTTTTTAACAATCGGTTCTGTGGGTGTGGCTTTGGTGGTGGGCGTGGCTTGGTGGTCATGTGACTGAGTGGATGTGGCTTGCGGGTCATGTTATTGGCTGGGCGTGGCCAACTCAATATCACTCACATCGAGGCACGAATCTCCTCGCCTGGCCTCTCATGACTGTGGGGATGCTACAACAGTCGTAAGTGTGAAAAGTGGTCATAAGTCACTTTTTTCAGTGCCATTGTAACGTTGAATGGTCACTCCACACAAGCAAAGGAGGGGAAAAAACTCCAGAGATGTTCCTGAGACAGGAAGTCTAGTCCTGCCAAGAATGTAATAAGGGTTAAGGGAGAGGCAGTTTCTGTAAGCAACACCAGAATGCTTCCTTCCTGCCTTCCTTACAGGATTAGGCCAGTAATTTCTTCTAACAACCGGTTCTCCAAACTGCTTAGAATGTTAACAACCGGTTCTAGCGAATAGGTGCGAACTGGTAGAATCCCACCCCTGCAGAAGTCCTCTGACTTACCTTTCAGGCCACAAAGCCTGCACATCGCAGCAAATACTGTGGATTCCATTTCTATGTTTCTCACGCCGGCATTGTATGCTCTTTTTAAATACTCTAGCTTTTTTTCATTAGAGAAGCAGCACAAGGCTCCATCTAACCGTCCTTGGCCTTAAAAGGGAAAGGGAAAGAGGAAAATATCAGTGTGTTATGCTTTCGTGCAGCCTGACTTCCACAGCATTGGCTTTTGCAGAGAGAATACTTTCTTCTGAAAGCCTAAAGGCAACTTTACTGACAGCCTACTTAAATAAAAAAAGAAACTCCCATTAAAAAAAATCAACTTTAATAACCTGCTGTTTGAAATACTAATAACTTATCCGCCACATAGTTTTTAACACTTCTGTAAAATGCGAGAAGTGAATGACAGAATAGAATACATAAAAAGAAGGAATGTATAAAATGCCTTCAACGGTGAAGATAATAAATTAAGGCAAATGTGTTCTTTATCGCTCTGTGCTGAGGAAAGCTGCAGAAGCCAATAATGAAAGCAGCACTAGTCCTGCAGAAAAAGACACAGCGGCATATTTGAACCTCCTGCTGGAAGTTCTTTGTAAAGCAGAAAGCTCACAAAACACAACCTCTGGATGCTTTTACTACTTGCTGCCCTGAAAAAAAAACGTCACGCTTTACAATGGCTGGCATTTAATTGGGAGAAGGGAAAAAAAACCAAGTTACTATAATACCTTCATTACTGTCCAAACCGCTTTCCATTTGGATAAGTGTCACCTAGCTAGCATGTCTAGGCAAATGTTGATGACTTTTGTTGATGACATTTAATTTCCATTTAATGTTGATTCTTCTTACTAGAGCGTCCAAATTCTCAGTGCCCCAAACACCAACTATTGGCCAGTCTCTCTCTGCATTACGTTTAACCCACAGAGAAAGACGGAGGGAACAACCTGGATGGAAGAGGAAAACTCAATTCCAAACACAACCCACATTTCTGTAAATCAGTCTGATTAACCCTAAATGGAACATTCTAGAAATCTGTGTCTTTGAGGGTGATGAAGACTTCCTTATGGGATGAACATAGTTTGCAAATCAATCTCTTTAATTACTGCTTTAAACCAGTTGCTGATCTCTTTGTATCTTTTGGGGGTTTTTTTTAACCCTACCCTGCAGCAGAACCAACCTATTACAAGCTATTCCATTGCAATTTTGTTTCTGTAGGTGAAATCTCTAAACTGGCTTTCATAAGAGGTGGCCCAAACTCAGATTGGCCAGCCACAGACTCCACAGATGATGACTTCTCTCTGTTTTATCCATTTTGCAAACAGCACTTAATTGTCTCCAGAGAAAAGGTCCTGGGGTATGAGAGGCACTAATGGGTACTTATGTAAATGCCAGACTTCTTGACATTTTTCTTAGGGGAAGGTAATTTGGGAAGCTATAATCCTGTCACAGAAGGTAGCTGGCATGTAATCCAGCTGTTAACATGATGATATGATGATTGACTGGAGGCTCTTTTATTTTAACTGTTTTCTATGAAATGCTTGCATCTTTTAGTCAATGAACTGGCACTGTTGAGGATGCAAATCAAGAACATTTTAGAGTTTCTTAAATGTCATAAAGGAGATGGGAAGCTGGATTAATATCGCAGTGAATTAAAAATATAGCAAAAATACTAGGCACCAGTCCCTAGGATAAACAACAGATGTGCTAATTTAAAAAAAAATTCATTTGAAGAATTTAAGAATCCTGAGATTTAAAAAAAAGGGCTTTGCTTGGCATTTGAAGCAAAAATGCCTTGCCTGCACTCCTATAGCTGTATGAATCCCTGTAAAGCTTTTGGTTCATCTTTGAGAGTCTTCCAAAGTTGCCACTAAATAACACTATTTAATATGACGGCAGTGAAAGTTAGACTTTGAAGAAACAGGCTAGGAAGAATATTGATGGCTTTTTTTAAAAAAAAAACCGTTGGTGTTGGAGAAGACTCCTGAGAATATCACAACACTTAGCAAAGAAAAAAATAAATAAACATATCAAAACAAATCAACGCAGAGTTCTCACTTGAGGCACAAACAACAGGCTGAAATCATTCTACTTCAGACACGTTATTTGAACACCGAGCTCTCTACAGAAAGTCTAAAGTTCTAATGCTGGGAAAGGCGAAGGAAGGAAGGGTAGGAAGTTACCACCTACCCCTCTCCTAGAAAAATGAAATATCCTAGGAAATATTAAAAAGGCAGAATAATTCCCCTAAAAAGAGAAGTAGAACTCAGAAGCAGAAACTCACCTCACAAGCAGAAGCTCACCCCCACCTTTGTTATTGGGCAGGCCATTAAGGCCTGGGCCAGAATATTCTACATAACAAAGCCCTCTACCCATCTCACCACCTGGCCTGGGAAGATTGCATCAGCCAGCACTCAGGTGAAACCATGTGGTCCAGACAGACAAAGCCTACAAAGTTAGCTAAGACCCCCGCCCCTGGGAGTCTGACAGCCAATGGAATACATATCTTGCACGGGAATAGGAAACACTAAGGTGGGGCCCACCAGAGAGTGCATAGGGGTCTCTCAGCATCTTGGCCCACCCTTCTCTTTTCACCTTGAAGCATGTGATCATCCTTTTCACCCAGGAATTCCATGCCATGTGGTCCTGTCCACCATTAAACCATCTTTCCAATCAGCCTCCATGTTTCCAGTGTCTTTTTGGAACTGAACCCAGAAATATATTTCTTCCAACAGAAGGAAGGAAGGAAGGAAGGAAGGAAGGAAGGAAGGAAGGGAGGGAGGGAGGGCACAAGGACAACTGGCAACAAGGTGGGTGGACTCAGGTACAGTGATGTTAAGTACACCATTGGAGCGGGTATGAAATGCCAGTCTGGGGACAGATTGTCATGGATTGATCTAGCTATGTGGTTTCTAACTTGAATCCATCCATCAATCAACATGGTACTCTAACAGTTGACAACAATGAGCTGGCACAAAATCAATGTGATGGAAGGGAAAATCATTGAATACACAACGAACATTTTAACTGTGTTGAATTAAATATTCTAAGTGCATCAACTTTAGTTTTTTATTTTTCCCATCCATTTTTTTGGGGGGGGGGGGTTGTCTGGCCTCTTCACTTATTAGACGACAGCTCTTAGACCCCCATTCTCAAAAGCGCTGGTATAAATTATCAGTATTAAAGAATGTTAAAAGTTCCAATTCTGCAATATCTCTAGATTTACTGCTTTGCTGTCGCTGAAGTAATTTCCTTGATAGAAAAGTGGGTAAATGTGACAGATATCTCAGGTGACTTAGCTCTGAAATTCTTTAGGAAAAAAAATGTTCCACTTCTCTCTTACAACTTTATTTTCTACTTTCTAGTGACCATTTTAGGGTTTCAGTCAAGAAATGAAATAATAATTTTGTTTGGTTTTTGTTTTATTTTTTTGCTGTGGTAACTTGTCTTATTTATCAGTGAAACTCCATGGGGCAAAACTAAACTGAAGTTTAATTGTTGTAATTGTCCTTAAAATGACAAGACATATAATTAAAATAGAACCAAAGTATTGATGCAGAGTTGCATTTTTCTTTACTGGCTCTATATTTATTAACAAATCCTATAAAATGATAAAATGCTACCATTTTACTGCCCTCAAAATTAACAAAAGCTTATTTTTAAGAGCAACAGAAGATAGACCACTAAAATGGGGATCCAATAATATTAGTGGGATAATTACCACTAATGATGAAGCCAAATGGATTAGAAAAGTTAAGATTATGCTTAATGATGCTTATTCCTGGTGAAATAATTGCAATCAATATTTTTACTTATCTGGAAGCAAGTTCCATTGAATTTAGTTCTGAGTACTATGGATATGGGAAGAGGTTTTAGCATCAAATTAAAATCAAATATCTTAATTACGGTCTTTGATCAGTCTTTACAATAAAAAAGAAAAGTAGTTTGATACAACAATTTGTTACTGGGAAAGGAGGAAAAACCAACAGGATAATAAAATAACATATCTAATTAAAAGTTTTGTGCAGTTAGGTAACTTGGTGAAGGTATTTGGCCACCCGATATGTGAGTGTGAGATTAGCATCCCTTAAAAATAGTAAAAAATAAAATGTATAAGTGTGTCCCACATATCTGGAAATGATTGGGGTGATCAGAACACATCTTGGGGCTTCATAAAAGGACACTGTATGAGGAAATGATTGTGAGAGAGGTCAAGAGCAGCGTCTCTGGAAATCAGAGTCCCATGAAATCCTCCCAATAGCAGAACTGATGGGAGAGGAGGTTTTAGCATAAGCATATTTATTTACTTCAAATTCATAAAGGAAACAGAGATCAAAGTGATGCTTCCCCCAAACTGGCTAGCTACTATAAAGTTTTCATATTTTCAATTTTCAGTTAAAAACATGTCACAAGGATGCTTGGGTAACTGGACTTTCTTGTTTTTTTCCTTGAAAACATTTCATTTCTCATCCCAGAAGCTTCTTCAGTTTCAGCTTCGTGAAGGAGAAGTGAAACATTTTCAAGGCAAAAATACAAGGAAGTCCAGCTGCCTTTTGAAAAGCACTTTTGGGACAACCATGACCTGGATAATTGAGAATCTCCATAGCCGCTTAAAATCATGCTTACCCTCATAAAAATCATACGTGCACATTGTATGGCCTATTAGTGTTGGGAAATCCTTTCCGCTGCATTTGAGTAACTCAGAAGCCAAGTCTTGGTCAAGCTCGGTGCTTCGTGTCACCACACGGTCTAGGATCACTTGCTCAAACTGGGGCTTGAAAAAGGAATCCACTGCCACATCTGTTATTACCACAGAGCCAGGCTCAACTCCTAAAAGTTGAAAATACACAGTGAATGAAGAAATATGAATGGGTAACTATGTCCCAGTAGATATTAGAATCTCTTACAGCAGGTGGCATCCCTTAGTTTAGGGGTCCCCACCCATGGCCATGGACCAGCACAGCTGGAGGGGAGTGGTGGGTGAGTGAGAGAAACATCATCTATATTTGCATCCATTCCCCAGGACTAGCATTACCGCCTCAGTTCCAGATCAAGCATTAGATTCTCATAGGAGCATAAACCCTACTAGAAACTGTTCATGTGAAGGATCTAGGTTGCATCGTCCTTCTCCTCCAATCTGTAGAAACATTGTCTTCCACGAAACCAGTCCCTGATGCCAAAAAGGTTGGGACCACTGTTTTAGTTGATCTTGGCTATCCCTTAAAGGTAAGGGGTGTTAGATAGTACATGATGTAGGAAGTTACTAAGAAATCTTGAGGCTATAGACCGAACTAGGAAATTGAAAAACCACCCTAAAAGGCAATGACAAGCAACTTCTGTATTATAGCCAAAGCAAAGAACATAGAGATGTCCATGGAGTCACCAGCCACTGAGTTTGACTCAACTCTTTACAATAGGTTTAGCTTGATCCTAGGAATCTGAATATAGCAAAACTGAATATTTTGGTTTAGAGAAAGGTGGAACTGACACCAGTAATAAGTCATTGGTTGTGTCTGCCTGACCTGGCTGATCCAAAGATCCTCTCCATCAGTCATTTATCTCAAGAAGATTGGGCTAAATGCATAAGATTTTGATGGCTCAATTAGTCAGCCAGCAGCCATTTTGCACTATTCTCGGCGGACATGAAGGCAGTTTAGTGGGTGATACTTTTCTTCTCAATCTCTGGGTGATTCTTTTCTTCTCAATATTTTGTTGGAGCAAATAACTAAAACATGCTCCATAAAAACAAATAAGCCCCCACCCCCGTTTATGCCCTGGTCAAACCTGGTGGTGACACAGGCATACTGAAACAAATGCAGAAATGGAAGTCTTAATCATAGATAGTTGAGTGGACACTTAACTGAAAGGCAAATAATCACCATAACACAGGGAGTTAGTTGAGGTACTTAGGTTAACACCAAAGAAATCTAGGTTTTGAACTTCTCAAAACACAGTAACCTTCCCTCTTGACTCAGGGTGAATGAGGGCAATACATATTCTATCAACTAAAGTCTGTTTTAAATTTTGATTATATTTCATTTTATTTAGTTATTTATTAAATTTACATGAGCCATGGTAGTGCAGTGATATTGCAGGTTAATTCTGCTGACTGCCGGCTGACTGCAATTTGCAGCTCAAATCCCACCAGGCTCAAGGTTGACTCAGCCTTCCATCCTTCCGAGGTGGGTAAACTGAGGAGCCAGATTGTTGGGAGCAATAGGTTGACTCTGTAAACTGCATAGAGCAGGGGTCCCCAATCCCCAAGCCACAGCCCAATACTGGGCTATGGCCTATTTGGAACCGGGTTGCTTGTGTGGTGGGCTGGCTCACACACGCATGCAGCTCCACTCGCACACGCAGCATGCACACGAGTGGAGGTGCATGAACAGGTGCTCCAGCCTGTCCAGTTCCCTTTTCCCTCCACCCAGCCAGGCCACCAAGCCACAACGGTTGGGGACCACTGGCTTAGAAAGTGTTGTAAAACACTGTGAAGGGTATATAAGTGCTATTGCTATTGCTACCCGGTGGTGGGGCTCAATTTTGTACTACCGGTTCTGTGGGCGTGGTTTGGTGGGAGTGTCGGGAAGGATACTGTGAAATATCCAGTCAGAGGTGGTATTTGCCGGTTCTCTGAAATATTCAAAATTTCCGCTACCGATTCTCCAGAACTGGTCAGAACCTGCTTAATACCCCACTCTGATGTTACCCATCTCACTCTGCAAAGTGACTGTTAAATTTAGGATTCTGTTCATGCTCAATCTGTTCTATAAGCCTGTATGTATGTGTGTACAGTATGTATGAAGGGGCACAGTGGCCTAGTGTTTAAAGTGGTGGGCTTGCCAACCCAGAAGGCTGGCAGTTCAAAACCCAAACATTGTGTGATTGGGTGAGCCCTCATTCTTGCCCCATTTCCTGCCTACCTATCATTTTGAAAGCGTGCAAACGTGAGTAGATAAATAGGTACCATTTCAGAAAGTAAAAATGTTTCAGAACCAGAAGGTGAGTATACAGAAAACAATACTTCCATCAAGAGACACTGAGCATCAGCTTCTGATGCCATATATTTTTCAGATGAACAAATGGTCACAAGCCACGGTCATCCCCATCTTCAAAAACGGAGACTCCAGCCTAGTTGAAAATTACAGACCAATCTCTTTGTGCTGCGTCACTTGTAAAGTCATGGAATCAATTATTAACCAATCCATCATTCTCCACTTAGAAACAAACAACCTACTCTCTAATAAACAATTTGGTTTTAGGAAAAAACTATCATGTAATCTGCAACTCTTACACTGCAAAAACATATGGACTACACAACTCAATCAAGGCAAAACAATAGATGCAATCTACATAGATTTCTATAAAGCCTTTGATTCAGTGGTACATGACAAACTACTCCTAAAACTAAAATCTTACGGTATCTCTGGATACCTGCATAACTGGATAGATGCATTCCTGTCAAACAGACAACAAATGGTCAAAATTGGGAGCGTCCTATCAAATTCTGTACCTGTCAACAGTGGTGTCCCCCAAGGCAGTGTTCTAGGACCAACTCTTTTCATACTCTACATAAATGACCTCTGTGATCATATCAAGAGCAACTGCATTCTCTTTGCTGATGATGTAAAGCTATTCAACACCACAGACAATACTGCTACCTTTCAAAAAGACCTCGACTATGTAGCAGAATGGTCAAACAAATGGCAACTTCAAATCTCAACAAATAAATACTCTGTCCTACATATTGGCAAAAAAAATCAGAAAATAAAATACAGGCTGAATAGTCAAGACCATGTTGATGATCCAAACTTTGTCAAGGATCTTGCAGTACTCATCTCAAATGACCTAAGTGCTAGAGCCCACTGTAACTACATAGCCAAAAAGGCGTTAAGAGTTGTTAACCTAATCTTACATAGCTTTTTCTCTGGTAATATCACACTACTAACTAGAGCATACAAAACATTTGCTAGACCAATACTCAAATACAGCTCATCAGTCTGGAACCCACATTACATATCTGATATTAACACAGTTGAGAAAGTCCAGAAATATTTCACAAGAAGAGTTCTCCACTCCTTTACTCGTTGCAGAATACCTTATGCCACCAGACTTGAAATTCTAGACCTAGAAAAGCTAGAACTACGCCACCTTTGGTCCGATCTAAGTATAGTATATCAAATCATACATTGCAATGTCCTACCTGTCAATGAATACTTCAGCTTCAACCATAACAATACAAAAGCAAACAATAGATACAAACTCAAGGCTAATCGCACCGAACTTGATTGCAGGAAATACGACTTCAGCAACAGAGTGATCAATGTCTAGAATACTCTACCTGTCTCTGTGGTTTCTTCCCCAAACCCCAAAACTTTAACTTTAGACTGTCTACTATTGACCTCACCCCTTTCATAAGAGGCCTGTAGGGGACGTGCATAAGCGCACCAATGTGCCTACTATCCCTGTCCTATTGTTTCTTTTATTTTTCTTATATGTATCCATGTATTCATAACTATGTTTTTACTTATATCTATTATCTTGTAAGCAATTGACAAATAAATAAATAAATAAATAAATATTGCTTGATAGAACTCAAAAAGGCAGTCATGACTATGGAAGCATCTTCAGACAATGCTGGCTCTCTTGGCTAAGAATATATATATTCTATATCTATATGTTATTTTAAATGTTAGAAATATGATATATGTTATATGTTTGTCCACAATCATAGTGGGCTAACAGGCTTTAGATTAAAGTATCGTCCTCCAGCACCTGTTTAGTCTGTCATGAGAACCAACATAAGGAAGGAAATTAGCTGTCTCAGTTTAGTCTGGTGAGCAGATTCTTTAAAACAGAGAAAATTCATTTACATATTTAAGATAATCTTTTGAGACCTAGAAGCTCTTTTCACTCATTCTGAAAGCACATAAAGCTTTTCTTTTGATTAAAATTAATAGGCTGCTTGCAGTTGAACAAGTATGAAGAGAAGTCCATATTTTAAAGTGCAGGAATTTAATATGTTATAAATGCGATTGCAAAATACTCTTTTATGGTACGGTATTATATTTCTTTGTTTCAGTTAGTGCTCTTCTTATACAGATTCCAAGGAAAATTTATTTTGAATGACTTTAATTTAGAAAGGACATCAAGCCCCATATTTTCAGAGTGATGTTATCTCAGCCAAATACACATTTGTGATCTCTCTGTGTATAGCTTTGCTGCCTGAATTTTGTTGACTTGAAATGTATATTAAAACATGTTGAAAAATTCTCATCAAGATCTGACCTTTTCTGAGCTGTTTTTCATCTGCATCCCCTATACTTGGCAGCAGCAAAACTCTTGGCTTACCTAATCCTCCCGAGGTACCGATGCGGATAATGGTAACATCACAGCATTTTGCATGGTGTAGCAATTTGATTAGTTCATGAAGCATGATAGAAATGGAGGGAATACCCATCCCATGCTGTCAGGAGACAAGGAAAAGAAATAAGAATTTGATACTTTCTCTACAAAACCAATCTGAACTTATACAGGCCGTTTCATAGAAAAATGCATCCAAAATATTGGTGCACAATTAAAGTCTACAATGGAAACACACGATGCATGATCTAACAAAAGCTAAGAGCTCTTAACTTAGCCTTCCCTTATTAAAATCAAATTATAGGAGTTCATTTATGATGCTAAAGCAGTATTCTTTAAAATATGGCTTGGTTCATATATAGTGCTAAGCAACAGTGGCTCGATGCATAGCTTCAATAATTAAAATATGGCTTAGCTGCAGGAATCGAGTTGTTATAGAAAAAAGCAGAATTCCATATGCAGAAGATAAATATATGTATGTGTTTGTATACACACACACACACACATTTACACATTATATATTATATGCATTATATACATTTTATAGATAGGATAGATAGATGATAGATAAATAGAGATAGAGATAGATAGAAATATAGAGATATAAATATAGATATAGTATGTATAGATATAACAGAACCCAGTGGTAGCCATTCTGCATGCCACCTAAATTAACACAGGATTCAAGAATGCTTTGTTGGGTTGTTGTGCACCCTTCTTCAATACGGATGCCTTACAGAGGCTTCAAGCCCCATAATTCTTTGCAATGGCCATATTGCTTCAGGAATCTGAGTGGTGGGATTCTATTTTTTTTGCTACCGGTTCTGTGGGTGTGGCTTGGTGGGCGTGGCAGGGGAAGGATAACTAATAAAATTCCAGTCAGAGATGGTATTTGCCGATTTTCTGAACTACTTAAAATTTCCGTTACCGGTTCTCCAGAACTGGTCAGAGCCTGCCGAATACCACCTCTGTTCTGAGTTGAAGTCCATTCATTTATATAATTTGAGAAGTCGGATGTTCCTTGTAGATGGTAACACAGCACTAACATTCATTAGCATCAAGACTTTCCATAAAATATCTTTGCTTTGTCCAATAGGATGTAAGCACAAATCTTGACCTTATGGACTGGATTACTGCTGACTTAAACAAATACACACACACACACCCTCTGTTAACAAGGAAATATGTAGGCTTTACAAAGTTAGTATACAGTAGTAACCCAAGTCAGATAATATGGTTCAGAGAGGAGACTAGTATAAATCACCATCTTGTCTTCAGTGCTGCAACTACTCCCCCTTTTGACTTACGAGTTGGATTTTTGTTTCTGGCCTATTAATCTTAACGGTCTCTTCTCTCCCAGAAATATAAGCGGGCAATTTCTTTGGAAAGCTTAAACATCTGTTACATCCCACGTGTTTGACGAGCAGGAAAATAATTAATAGAAATAGCAAGAACAAACCAAGGCAAATTTTTGGCAGACTAAAAATTACAAGAAGTGGCAATTTTGAATATTCGAACCATTAGATTGGCAATAATCGCCCAAAGGAGTAGGTGAAGGAAGAGGAAAATGGGAAATTGCTAGTAAATTAATTGTTAAAGTGAATAAAGATGGAGTTGAACATGTTTTCAAATGTGGAAGAAAGGGGTCACTGGGATGATTTAGGCCTTAGATTTTGACCTATTTAAAGATTATTAAATTACACCATTTCCTAGGGTGCAAGCTTCACTGAACATAAGGCGGCATAATGTAAGGAAGTGAAATTGGGGCTGCTACCTGTGCTTTGGAAAAGCAGCTACGGCCAGGCACTTCTATCACGCTTTCAGGCAGGCACTCATACTCCCAGGCATCCATGCCAATGTTATACAACTGCCTGTGCTAACTGAGCCCTTTTCAAGGAATGACTGACATCCAGAGACATCCTCACCCACCCAAAACTTGGAGCTTACAAAAGCAAATGCTAAAGCAGAGTGGGAAAAGAGGTAGGAGTGCCAGAAAAGATGAAAGCAAAGCGCCTACAGACGGGGAAGTGGAGGTGAGGTCTGCAGGTTGACAGCTAGTACAAGCAAGCAAGAGGACTTTCATTCAACTACGAGGATCATAAGCTAAAGCAGGGGTGTCCAAGCTCCAGGGAAAGGTCCAAACTGGACTCCTACCAAGCTATGCTGCTCACTGTAGCTCAGGGGTGTTTCAACCTTGGCAACTTTAAGACTTGTGGACTTCAAGTCCCAGAATTCCCCAGCCCACATGGCCAACTGGGGAATTCTGGGAGTTGAAGTCCATAAGGCTTAATGTTGCTAAGGTTGAAACACCCCTGAGCTACAGTGAGCAGCATAGCTTGGTAGGAGTCCAGTTTGGATCTTTCCCTGGAGCTTGGCAGTAACTAGAAAAGGAGCAACCACACTGAAGCAACACCTCATCCCAATTAGTGCAAGATGTTTGGAAAAAAACAACAGGTTGTATGCTTCTTTAAAGACTTTGAGACATTAGTTTGATCTGAAAATTAAAAGATAAGTATTAAGGGACTGAGTATTAAAGACCTATTTACGTGACAATATCCTCTTGCAAAGCCTAGAAAGGCAGAGTTAACTCAGAGCAACAGCCTGTTGCTGGGGAAGATGTGCGTGACAATGAAGTGTTTTGTATAGATTTGCTATGCTGTGTTGTGTCAGTTCCTGAGAGAGCAAAGAACCCCACATATAAGAAAATGTAAGAAGTTTGTAAAAATAACACTTTGTGGAAAATGGGAAGAGAGCATATATAGTTACATCAAGTCATAGTTAGGCCTGGGTGTTATTTGGGAGTCATCCTGACACTTGTGACATCACTCAGGCCTGCAGCTCTACAATGGAGCTGGAAATCAGGGGTGTCAAACTGGTGGCCTGTGGACCAGATGTGTCACACGCAGACCCCGGCTCCCCCAGCTCAGTAAAGACAAAAAAATGTCGTGATACATCACGATATGTCATGCGATGTGATCAAGTTGGACACCCGTGAGCTGGATGGTGGACAATTGACAACTGGCAAGATGACGATGCTTCACGCTGCCTGAAAAAAATAAACAAACAAGAAACTCACAAGCACAATATGGTCACCAATTTAAAGTGCTTTAAAAATGGTCCAGACAAGATTAAGGAAGGCTCTAGTGATCAATGGCCATTAATTATGAAGGTTATAGCATTAGAAGAAGTATGTTGAGGGCAGGAGAAGAAATAACGGATGAAAACTTATCAAGGACAGAACCAACCTAGAACTAAGGAGAATTTTTCTGACAGTGAGAACAATTAACTACTAGAATAGCTTATCCAGAAGTTGTGGGTGCTTCATCACTGGAAGTTTTTAAGAAGAGGCCGGACAACCATTTGTTGCCTTGAGCAGGGGTTTGGACCTCCAATGTCCCTTTCAATTATTATTTTGTATTCTGTAGTCTGTCTTTTCTGAAGTTTTCAAATATAATCCAGTAGAGCTCTTCTTATCATTTTCATGATTTTTTTTTTAAAAAAAATAAATGTGGTTTGGATCATGTTGCATTTTTCATAGCATTATTTAAAGTATTCTTTTATCTGGTTCCTACCACACACTAAGCAATAGTATAGTTGGAATTTTTCCTTAGCATATGATGTGAACCACCAATTGTGGCTTGCAAATTACCGTTTGTGGCTTGGTATGTAATCTAAACCTGCCAATTGGGGTTTATTTGATAAAACCAAGTTGAAGAAGTCATGGTTCCATGCAAACATGTAATACCTTCAATATCCTTGAAAGAAATTATGTTAAAAAAAAAAAAATCTTCCAGATCTGGGCTGCAAAAATCCAGGTGACCACAGATGGCAGTCAAAAGTTATTTCAAGAAGTCAAGGAGAAAAGAATAGAAATTAAAAAGCGAAACTTAGTGTAGAAGTAAAGAATAAATGAAGGATGGAAAAATGAAACTTAAGTGTAGAAATATAGAATAAATGAAGGATGGAAATATAGGTAATCCTCACTTAGGGACCATAACTGCGACTGGCTACTCCACTGGCTAATTGACACGATTATAAAGTGAAACATCCCATGACCATGACCAACTTACCGATGCTTTTCTCAAGCATTTGGGAGGGCGAAAATGGCCTTCCCGGGCTCCAGAGGCTCTGTGGAAGCCAGAAACGGGCCCATTTCTGACCTTTCTGAACTTCCGGGAGACCTGTTTTTCACCCTCCCCGAGCCTCCGCATGCGCCCTGCACTTACCAGCATCCAAAACGAGCTGTGTGGGAACTCCTGAGGGTGGGGGCGAGTGGGTGGGGCCAGTCAGGAGTGGGATTTGGGGGTTCTCCGAACTGCACAGAATCTTTGCTAGGGGCTCTCCCGAACTCCCAGGAAACTCCCAGCAGCCAATGCCTCCTTGCCCAGCTTGTTTGCTCTCTTCCCGCTAATTCTGTTCCTCTGTTTAAGTCAGGGGATATCTCAGAAAAGATGACCTAGCAAGTCACAGGTTTTCTAATAGCCTATAAAATAGACAACAAGAGTCCCAGCTAGAGAGAAGTATTATCTTCGGAGCAGAATGAAGAACGTATCAGGGTGTATAAGAAAGTCTAAAAGAATTTTGGCACAGCCATAAAATAGCTAACTAATGAGAAGCAGTGCATTTGGAACGGTATTGCTGTAATCTGTAACTGTAAGGGATAGGTTAGGAAAGAGATAAAGGTCAGGTTGAAGAATGTGGCTGGAACAACGGTGATGAGGAACCAGAAGATCAAGTCTTGGAAATGTGAAAATAGAAAGGATGGACAGAATAAGGATCGAAGGTCTGGGCATAAATAGTATATCTGAGGAAAGACAAGAGAAATAGGGTACTTACAGTAGGATAGATAAGTGCAAGTAATTAGAAACAGGGTATAAGAAATGGCAAATGCACAATAAATGAAAGAACATAAAACTCTTCAGACTAAGAAACAAAGTTTATTTTTGTAGTGCACTTTGATACTAAGCTCTCATTTCTTCAGTGACCATCAGTCTCTGTATCTCATCCAAATCCATACCATCCCAAAATCTATCACATGTGTGGTTTATATCCAAATATATTTTATTTTTTATATTGTTTCTTCCCCTTAAAATATTTTACAGAGAATCCACAATGATCTGAGAATCGGTATCTCCACTAGATAATTTAACAGTCAAGCTGAAACTAAGTTAATCAACTAAAATTAGCAAACTTCCACAAACAAGTTACCGAGACCTAATCCACAAATCAAAGGATAAGGTTGACAAATACAAAGTTAATTAAATTAGGTCTCCCAGAAGAACTGCACGTTCACAAGAATAAACACACACACACACACCTCAAATGTCACTCTAGAATCAGCACGTGACACTCTGGACAAGCTCCCACTATACAAATTTGCTGCTGTGCCCCATTTCTCTGCAGCCTGCCCCTAAATGCAAACTGTTTTGCTTTTAGGAATAGATATTTCTTCTTTCCTCACAGGTGTCTAGGTCTCATTTTTATTTACTCTCGCACAGCCCTGGCTCGAGTTGGAACCCCAAATTATTCTTCTGACACAGGGCTCTGCAAATTCAGCTGCAAATTCAGCTTGGGGGATCAGATCACCCCTGTATTTTATTTTTTCCCCCCTTTTGGCAGTGCTCAGGACAAGTCCATCTCTCTATGCCAGGGGTGTCAAACTCAGGGCCCTCAGGCTGAATGTGTCACACGCTGCCCCCCCCGCCACCCCCAGTTAATAGAAGGGGGAAAAAGTTGTGATACATCACATGATACGACAATGTGTCATCACGAGTTTGACACCCCTCCTCTATGTTTCCTTTCCCCATACTCTGTTGGCTGAATTGTGGTGTGTCTGAAATGCATGGAAAACTGGGCTTTTGTGAATCAACTGGATTTGTTCCAGATATAATTTTTGTTAGGTTCAAAGATGGCATGGTGCGACCTGAATTTCAAAGGCAAAAATATTCAAATAACATCAAATTTCAATAGTGGAAAAAAAAAAATCCATAGACCATAATAGGGGAGCATCAAAACATCTGCAGCTGCTTCTTTTTTTTTAAATCGGGATGGGATGAAAATAGCAAAGGAGTTTTAGCTGTTTTTGAATCTTCCAGGGTTTTACTGCAATCTTTTGCTGAAAAACATTCTCCTTATTAAGGGATTCTCTCTTTCTAAGGGAGAAATGAGAGGAATGAGGAAAGGACAGCAGAACTATCTCCAAATCATCTAGCAAATGTCCTCTAGAGAAGTGGTCCAGAAAAAAAATTACAAAAACAATGTCCTACTTAGATTTAAAATGAAAGCCTTTGAAAACACTATAAAAAGTAAGAACTTGACTCTCCATTTTTACTGTCATGTGGCAATAACATGACTTACCTTTATGCAGTATTACAACTTTGCTTTCTCTAAACTCTGAGGGTTTTGTGGGTGGGGGAGGGAGGAGAGGACAGGAAAGTTGACATAAATGGCTCAGGGGTGGGCTTCAAAAATTTTAGCAACAGGTTCTCTGCCGGGTTGCTGGGTGAGCGTGGCCATGATGGGTGTAGCCTAGTCAACCTCCTGCACCACACCCAGGGGGGCATGTTTTTGCCCTTCCTGGGCTCCGGTGCTTTGCTTGAGCCTCGGGGAGGGTGAAAATGGCCTCGCTGGGCTCTGGAGGCTCTCTGGAAGCTGGAAATGGGCCCATATCCAGCCTTCCTGAACTTCTGGGAAGTTTTTCATCTTCCCTGAGCCTCCATGCACGCCCTGCACTTACCTGTATCCAAAATGGGCTGTGTGGGGACTTCGGGGAGAGGCGGGGTAAGCGGGGCCAGCCAGGAGTGGGATTTGGGGGTTCTTCAAACTGCACAGAATCTTAGCTAAGGGCTCTCCCGAATCCCTGCAAACCTCCAGCAGCCCACCAGGGGTGGGATTCTACCAGTTTGCACCTATTCGCTAGAACCGGTTGTTAACATTCTAAGCAGTTCAGAGAACCGGTTGTTAGAAGAAATTACTGGCCTAATCCTGTAAGGAAGGCAGGAAGGAAACATTCTGGTGTTGCTTGCAGAAACTGCCTCTCCCTTAACCCTTATTACATTCTTGGCAGGACTAGACTTCCTGTCTCTGGAACTTCTCTGGAGTTTTTTCCTCCTCCTTTGCTGGTACTTTGCTTGTGTGGAGTGACCATTCAAAGTTACAATGGCACTGAAAAAGGTGACTTATGACCATTTTTCACACTTACGACTGTTGCAGCATCCCCACAGTCATGAGAGGCCAGGTGAGGAGATGCATGCCTTGATGTGATATTGAGTTGGCCACACCCAGCCAATAACATGCCCACCCAGTCACATGACCACCAAGACACACCCACCACCTAAGCCACGCCCACAGAACCGGTTGTTAAAAACTTTGAATCCCACCCCTGCAGCCCAACCCTGAAATGGTTGCCAAGCTTGACCTGTCTAAGGAAGAACCTTCTCATTGGCAAGTCTTACCTTCTCCTGGAAATGCCCCAGTTATGCCAGTGCTGTATCTGGCTGGCAATTCCCACTGTGGTATGAAAGGTGGTAAAACAAGCCAGGCACAGCGAAATACAAGCAGACCACAGTGAAAGAAGCCACTATTATGTGTACAGTATGCACCAAACTCATCATCAGGCAAGATCCAACACTGGGATTCATGATTCGTCTTAGGTTCTTTAATAAAAACTAGCAGTTCATCCACACTTATTTCCATCACTGAGCCATGCTTTGACTGGCTGTCTGCTGGTGTGGGAGTTCAGACGAGTTCTCCCCAACGGTCCCACTCATAAGCTTGCTGGAGTGGGAGGGTAGGTTCTGTATCTCCATGGCTTACTAATAAAACCAATATATTCAGCTTTCCAACTTTCCGCTTTAGCCCCTTAAGGGATAAACTGAGATTATACAACATGGCCCTGGGCACTCTTGCTGACATGCAAGTGAGGTAGAAAGAGTGGAAAATGTAAAGGATTGAAGGAGCTTCTGGTTCAAAGAAGTGATGCTTGTCGGTTAAACCACGGCCTAAAAAGTTGTTCCTTGAGCCCCAGCATCGATCTTTCTATTTTTTTTTTTTATCTCGTTCTTCCTCTGAAAAGTCTTAGACATACACTAAAGAATAAAGAGTATGCTGGAATGGCCAGATATACTGTATACTATTAAGAGGAGTTCCCGGGATTCCCCATGAGGTACTTACGCTGATGGAGAGCACTGGGCCCACCTTATACATGGAGTAACGGTCAGTCCCAGCACAAATGTTTTTCAAGTCATTGTCCTCTCCTTCGTGTCCAAGTTCTTTCTGCATGAACTGAGCAAAAGCCTTCATTCTGTTGGGGCTTCCTCCCACACAGACAAACTGCAAAAGGACGATAAGGGTATCAGCCACAGCAACAACAACGCTGCATCTATTGCCGCTAAGCTGTCAGAATAGTTTTGTGCATTTTTTTCAAATATCCAAAAGGATATAAAAATCCTACTTGAAAGCATGAACTAAAAGATGGTCCTGACCTGCTTGAGCCATAATGGGGACACAAGAGGTCCCCGTTTGTCAGGATTTGATCAGGATAATCTTATGGAATTTAGTCACTGTGCGACTTAAGGAGCAGAATATAAGAACCTGGTTTTATTCTTGTCATGATATCGGTAGACTGAAATCAGGGATGAGCAATTTGGATGAGGGTTTTATTTATTTAGTGAACGGCACGTGTTAGTCAGGGGCCTCTGTGACAGGAAATTTTTTCAGGCGGTGTTATCTTTATCGGTGGAGTGCTTGAATGCTTGTAGGCAATCGGGGGCGGGGGGCTCTTTTCTTGTCCCTCCATGGTTTATTCACTCATGGGAATCGAGCCGCTGAGCTGTCAACCTCAGCGGTGCACAGACCCAGTGTCTTACCACTTCTTTCACTCTGGCCCCTCTGGGGAGGGTAAGCCTTCTTTATTTACTTCAGCCAAAAACACTGTTTTAGAAAACAAAGAAGGCTGGGTGAGGCTAAGCCTTCTTTATTTTTTAAAACAGTGTTTTTGGCTCAAGTATTGCCACAAATGGCCATTTTTACCTTTCCAACCAGAGGTTCAGTGTACAGATTTTAAAACTAATTTAGTGTTTTTCTTATCCCACCTTTGTTCTTTTTAGAAATTACCTCTTCTTTTCCCATAACAATAATCCTGTGAGATGGGCTGGGCTGAAAGAGAGTGCCAGGCCCAAGGTCACCCAGCCAGTTTTCTTGCCTTTGGCAGGACTAGAACTCACAGTCTCCTGGTTTCTAGCCTGGTACCTTCACCACTAGACCAAACTGGCCATGCAAAGTAGTCATATGGCCAATCGATACCATTTTGATTATTGTATACCACCTAGAGTTCCTTCTGTGAGACAGGTAACCATATAAATGTGATTAATAAATAATAAATACATTTTATAACTGAATTTCTGCGATGTAAATCGTTGAAGAGCTGTGGAGTACTGCCAAAACAGGTCTGGGGAACTATGGGTCATTAGGTAGCTGCCCAGGCTGTTTCCCACTGAACTTTGCTATAAGAAATGCACAATTTCTATCGAAAGGGGCCCTTCTATATGCTTCACCAGTTGTGAAGGTCTAGTAATCTAATACCCATGACATAAATAAAATTGAAATGTTTCCTCTCTTGAAGGAATATCCAATGAAGTGAAACAGGAGGGGGGATAATATTATGTCCGGCATATTATTTGATTCAATAAAAGGGGGTGGAGGGAGAAGAAAGAAAAGATGTGCAGGGATACAGTTTTAGATCACCCCCTATATATCTGCTTCTACATGGACTACATTGTGCCTGGAATTCTGCCCACATTTTGAAGGGACGAGTGGCACAACCATCAAAAATGCATCTGGATTTCACATCTGATATGCAAAGTCTGCATTTTATATCTGAATTTTGTCCCTGGTCCAAATGTCTTATTTGCAGCGACTGTAATTTTCAGCTGGAAATAAACCCAGCAAAATAAGCAAGCACGGCACATAAACTGCTAGTAGTTATTTGTGCTAGAAAAAAAGTTGAACCAGATGCTGAATTGGTGTGTGGTCTGCTCTATTATTTCAAGTAGGGTGCAAAATTCTGTACGTGCAGTCAGGAATTGCAACTGTAAATGGGTGTGGAATTCCAGGAAAAGAAATCAAAAATCACTTCTGAATCGAGAGGGTAGCTAATCAACGCATCTCTGTTTGCTTGCCCCACATAGCTATTGTAGTCCAAAATGACATTTGATCCAGAAGTGGTATTCAGCAGGTTCAGAAATTTTGAGTAGTTCGGAGAACTGGTAGCAGAAAATTTAAGTAGTTTGGAATAGCACCTCTGACTGGCCCCTCCCAGTCAGAGGTGGTATTATCTGCCTTCCGAATCCCAGCTGATCAGCTGGGTCTTCGTTTGTTGCCCTGTACAGGAGAATGGAGCAGGAAAGCAGGTTAGTGGGGTGGGCAGAGAATGGGGATTTTGCAGTATCCTCCTGCCACGCCCACCTAGCTATGCCCACAAAACTGATAGTAAATTTTTTTTTGAATCCTACCACTGATTTGATCAAAATGGCTGGCATTTCTATACACTTTTTGCACATCTTTGTAGCTCCTGATGTACATACTATAGGTTCAAACCCTGTGCATTTCCTCAGGAGAAAATAAACCCATCTCTGATTGTGCTCCAAATCTGTGATGAACCTCAAAAGAACCAATTTAAAATTTATCTTGATACTTCCATTAAAATCAATGAGGTTTTTAAATACTTAGCTTGGGTTCCACATATTTTCCAGAAATAAATTAAAGGAATTCATTGGGCTTTTTTTTACACAGCACAGATAAGGATTTCAGAAGCAAAGCAGTTTTACTTTATTTAAAATAAGAGTTATTGAAAGTTTTACAGAGAACATAAAAATTAATATAAACTAATAAAATGTAAAAGCAGTGTAGAAAGAAATAAAGATGAAATAAAAGACAATATTAGAGAAATAGAATAAAAAGAAATAGAAAGAAGCAGTGTCCAATTTCATTTGCAGCAAATATAAGTGCTAATAAAAAATTATCTCTTACTCTATAATTACAAAAGAAAGTTCACACTTTTATGCATTTTTTTGCAATCATCAATGCCACAAATCAAGTGCATTTTCCTGTTTTATGCAAAAACTCTATACTGGAAGGGTTTTCCATTCAGCCATAAGTCTAGATCTCGACTATGTGTCTGAATGATCCTCTATTTGGCAACTTCAAATTTCGATTAATTAATGGTCTGTCTTACAAATTGGTAAATGTAATCAGAATGTCAAGTATAAGTTAGGTGGTATTGATGTAGCAGATGACCCTCACTTTATTAAGGACCTAAGTGTACTTATCTCTGACGATTTATGCTCCAAAGCTCACTGTAACAGTGTTGCTAAAAAAAAGCATTAAGAGTTGTAAACTTAATTTTGCGAAGCTTTTTTTCTGGAAACGTATTGCTAATTAGAGTTTATAAAACTTATGCCAGATCAGTTTTAGAGTATTGTTCAACTGTGTGAAATCCCAACCATATATCTGACATCAGTACAATCGATCAGGTTCAGAAGTAGAATTCCTTATGCTACTAAACTCAAAGTTCTCAGTTTGGATAACTTAGAATTGCGTCACTTGCGGTAGGACCTAGGTATTGCATACAAAATTATACATTGTAATGTTTTACCTGAAATGACTTTTTCTGTTTTAATCGCAATAATATGTGCGCAAACAACCGCTTTAAACTCAATGTAAATCGTTCTAAACCTGACTGTAAAAAATATGATTTCTATAATAGAGTTGTCGAAGTCTGGAAAGCTCTGATTCAGTTGTCTCATTTACAAATTTTCACAGTTTCAGTCACAAATTGACTTCCGTGGACCTTACTTCACATTTAAGTGGTCAGTAGAGGGGCCATGCATAACTGCTCTAATGTGCCTATTGTCCCTGTCATTGTACTTTTATTCTCTTATTCTTGTTCTCATTTTTGTTTGACAAATTCCAATAAATAAATAAAAATAATAATAAACAGATGCTGTTTTTCCTCTGATCAAACAGGTTAATTTAGCCATCGCTGAGAACCAAAGCAAGTTTCCAACTGGGATTCAGTTGTTGAAGTCTTTAGGATAACAGTCATATATGTATAATGAATCCTCAATTTAAATAACTATTTAGGGAAAACACACCAGTTAACAAAAATGCTTCTTAGTATTACATTTATGTAACTAACATAGTTTGTATGCCATTGACAATGATTTGCATCATTTGTGTTAGGGCAGTTGTTCAGATGGGTTTTAAAAACAATAGACATCCAGTATTTTGTGTGTATGGGGGGAGTACAGATACAAAATTAATCCTTTGCACCCAAGGTGCTCAAAATTGCAGTCCAGAGAATTGAGATTAAACTTCAAAAGTTTAAACAAACAAACAAAAAACAGGGCTATCAGATTTGAGCCTCAAAAATCCGGATGACCACAAGATGGCAGCAAAAATAGATTTTTGTGCATCTCTTTGCTGCATGTAGATGTTTTCGCTTCAGATCTGCTAATTCTAGCAGAGACATAGAACCTGTGAGGAATGTAGGTTCAGTTCTTAACATCTCTAGTTAAAAGGGTTAGCTAAAGAAGCGAACTATCACGATTAATAAGAATGCATCCTTTTATATGTCAGAATATCACTTCCTAAACTCTTATTATTTCTCTCGTCTGGGAATTCTGTTCCTCTTCTAATGTGAACCAGTATCAAATTTGGAGCCACGGAGCCTCTTGCTAAAAGTTTTCCATGAGACTAAACACACTTCACAATACAGTTGGTGTTTGTTTATCTGAAAATATCCCTAAGCAGCTTTGGAAGTGGCATCAACAGGCTCTTCTCCTTAGCCAGAGAAATGGGAAATGATACCACTGATGACTCAATTTCTACCATGTATTGTTTTGGAACTGGAGCCAGAGAAACTACCCCAAGGAAGAATTTAGCCCATCAAACTGGCTTTGTTTTCTCAATTCTCCTTCCTTCAACTGAGAAGCGGAAAGGTAATTGCCCATAACTGTAGCTGCGGCATACTTTTTGAGTCACTTTGCCGCTATTCCCTTAGGACCTTTAACTCATCTCTGAAGCTCGTCTGTGGTTTTGGTAACAAAAAGAAAAAAGAAAAGAAAAAGAGAAAAGAACAGCAGCAAGAACAGAATGGAAGGTGTTTAGAAAAGCAATAGCTGTGTCATCTTGAGGTTACCTTTATGTCTCCAAACATGGCTGGCAGGTTGTGCGTTTTGGTTCCTAAATCCAAGTGGTAAAGGATGTCTTCTTCCATTAAATCCAAATGAGGGTTCTTAACATAAACAAATCCATTCCTAGGAACGAAACATAAAAAGAGAAGGAGGAAGCTGTCAGTGACCGCAGAGAGGGGAAATGGCAAGATAAAATATGGGAACCCAGGAATTCAGGTGAAGTTGTAGATTGCCTGTTTATAAATTAATAATGCTGAGGTTGGCGAGAGAAAAAGAACCGTGGCCAAACAAGCCCTTTCCAGATGATCAGTTTTTAGTATAGTAAATGTGTCGCGATTGCCCACTTGGTATGCTGATTGCAAACCTCTTCCCTGGAGGTTGAAGTTCTCGGTGTTCTGCAGCAATATATTTTATATTCAGGAAATAGCATTCCCCCCACCGCCGCCGCCTTTCACTTCACTGGTGTCTTGTGTTTGCCTTCTGAAATGACTTTGTGTGACGGTTAACAGACACATTTCTTATGGTTTGTGTGAAGTCGTTAATAATGTTCGCACTGCCGTTTAGTTCTGTGATCTTCTTTATTCTTTAGTCTTCACAATATCACCAGTGGGTTGTATTCTCTAGTAGTGCTCAGAAAGAACAGAAATAGCTCCTGATAGATCAAACCAAGCCTTTGTCTGTTCTAAAGGGCCCCATAAGACATAGGACTGCTGGAGTAAAGGACAAGCAGCCTCATATTCACATTGTGCTTCTCACAACCACTTAATCAGAGATCTTATAAACCAGGCTTGTCCAACCCGCGGCCCGCGGGTCGCATGCGGCCCAGGTCGGCTCATAATGCAGCCCAGTGCCCACCCCAACCTTCGTGCAAGAGGATGAGCCAGCGAGGAGGAGGAGGAGAGGCAGGCGCGAGGCGGGCGAGGCCAGCGCCACACCAAGCAGCAACAGAAAAGGTGGGCGCCGTCAGAGCGCTCCTCGTGCCGAGGCAGCCACAGCCCAAGAGTCCCACTCCGCCACCTCCTGCTGTTGCCACCGCCGCCACCGCTGCTGCCGCCGGAGCTGTTATAGCGGCTTCTGCCCCCGCCGCCGCCACTGCCGCTGCTGCTGCTGCTGCTGCACCGAGCCTCCCAGTCCTGCCGCATCCAGCCGGGCCATTTGCAGGAGGAGAGGTAGGCGCGAGGCGGGTGAGCTTTCTTCCCCCCCGCCCCCGCGTTCCTTTCTCCCTGGTTGACTATTTTTTATGATATCTTATGAAAAAAAAATGTTTTCTATGGTTTTTTTGGATGATCAGGTATCGTTACTGTTATTTTATTTTATGTGCAGCCCAAACCAAATTTTCATCTTCTAATGTGGCCCAGGGAAGGTGAAAGGTTGGACAAGCCTGTTATAAACAAAGCATGAAGATGTTAGCCCTCTTCTGGTGCTGACCATCAGCAGCTACGATTTAGGGTATCGTATCTCTGAACACTGAGTTTTGCTTTTTTAAAATATCCTGCCAGATATTTCTGGAAAATCAATCTATTTGGGAAGAGGGGAGATAAAAATTCCTTGTTAAGCTAGGTTCCTGGTGGTTACATGAACACAACCCTATATTTTTAGTGGAAGAATATAAAAGTGGTTTGCCTTCTTCCAGATTTCCCCCCCACCCCAAGTTTCTTAATCCAGTTTACTTCTGTGCGATTTCTAGTGATGATCCATCCGAGTACAAATCAGGTCTGATTTTATTTAGTTCTTTTTTATATTAGCCAAGAACCACTTCATTTTATTAGCTGGAATTACCCCTAAGACACACGGACTCCCACTTTACTGGGATAGCACTAGCAATGGCACTTAGACTTATACACCACTTCACAGTGTTTTACAGCCCTCTCTAAACCGTTTACAGAATCAGCCTATTACCCCCAACAATCTGGGCCCTCATTTTACTGACCTCAGAAGGAATGGACGACTGAGTCAACCTTGAGTCCCTGTGAGGATCGAACTTAAATGTTTCCAAGCTGATGCTGAACAGCCTATCTTAGAGCTACATTAATTAAATTATCCTTTAAGCTATTCAGAAGATGACAAATTGGAGGTGTAGGAATATAGTTCAGCCTCACATTAAACTCCTTAATATTTCTTTCCTACATATGTAATGATTTGAAATAATGCTACAGCTGGACATAATGAGATCCTAGAGTTAAAGATTCTTCAAATTTCTTGCAACACCATCACACACACACACACACACACACACACACACACACACACACCACATATACACTTCCATCCCTTTTTAATAATTCTTCCAGAGATCTACTAAAACGTGAGTTAGTATATTCTGATTAAATTCATTTTTTTAATCATAGGAAGCCATACTGAAGAAAAAATAAAAAGAAATGCTTAGTTTAATGAGGAGACAAATGGAAGGCAGAAGGATTACTTGAGTGAGAGAAAAAGTCAACAAAGGTTTAAAGTGGAAAAAAATGTTCAAGAGTCAGAAGCAATAAGACAAAAGAGAAACAAAGACAAAACATATCAGCTAAAAGAGTAAAATACAACCACACGACTAAGGGATAAGAAATAAAGGCAGAACTCATGAGCCTAGAGACCCATGAATAATTCTATCACTTTTTAACATCTTATTCTTAGTTACTATGTATTCTAATTCTTTTATTTTGATTTTGTAAGCTGCCCAGAGCCCAGTCAGGTTCAGAGGGTCAAATAAATTTCATAAATAAAAAATAAATGAGGGTTTCTCCCCCCACCCCCTTCATCCTTGTTTTCAGCTGACATGCTGAGAACCAAAGAGCAGCCGGCTTGATGTGGATCAGAACCAAGAAAGTACAAACCCACCAGATGTGACATTTGTTTCAAGGTCAGTTGTGACCGAGCATCCTTGCCAAGGAAAGACTTTAACTGTATTATGTAGGCATTCAATTTATAGAAGGAGCTTACCCTTTTACAAATACTGCTTAGGATGGATGGATGACCAAGCCTCTGGATCCTAAGGTCCCAAGATCTTCAATTCAGCATTTGCTCTAGTACAAAGTTATTCTTATAGATGTAGAATTGCATGGCTGTTGTTTCAATGAATGTAATAAAGCATGCTACCATTTTATTTTGAACTGAAAGCAAAAGAGGTATATGGTCTGTATGTAATAGAAGGGACTTGGGGCTTACTGGTTGGGAACCTCTGCTGGTTAGAGGTTTTAGTAGCAGGCTGAATGACATTAAATTATCTAGGAGCTGGGAAAGATTCTACTTGGCAAATCTCTGGGAGATTCAGCACCCAAATCTAGGACTGGCTCCAATATTATATCTGAAATTAGGTAATTTCATAGAGGCACCATTGAGTTTTTTTAAAAAAAAACCAATTAACCTGCACCCCTGCATAATTTCCATTGGCTATATTGCATTGGGGGCACCCCACAAAAATCTGAACTGATGACCATTTGTTTAATTACACCATCTACTCTTGCAGACTTACCATTTTTAAAGTTCTCATAGCATTTATTATTTTCTGTGTCATTCTTTCTTGGACACTAATAATCCATAGCATTCATTTCAATTCCATCCTTTAACAGATCATTATCCTTCCCATACAAATCTCTAAAATACTCTTTCTAGAATTTCTGTTTCATCTCACATTCCTTGAAATGTTTTTTTTTTTTCATTTCATGACTTCTGCAAAGAGAAAAAATATGCATGCAATTGGTAAGCAAAGCGCAGGCATGAAGTGGGTACTTGGAGTGAGGCCTGCAAGAATATCAGGGAAGGAATGAACCAGAGGCTTGGCTAGGGCATGCATAAGTGCACCATCGTGCCTCCCATTCCTGTCCTATTGTCCCCATTTATTTGTACCTATTTCCTGTATTCTTACTCATGTTTATACTTATACCTATGACCTTGTAAGCAAGTGACAAATAAATAAATTAAATAAATAAATAAAAAGAGCAGTAGCAATAGCACTTAGATGTATAAATCATCCCACAGTGCTTTACAACACTCTCTGAGAAGTTTAAAGAGTCGACATATTGCTCCCAACAATCTGGGACCATATTTTACCGATTTTGGAAGGATGGAGGGCTGAGTCAAGCTTGAGATGGTCAGGATCGAACTCCTGGCAGTTGGAATGCAGAGTTAGTCTGCAATACTGCATTCTAACCTCTGTGCCATCATGGCTCATAATATGCCAAAACCAAAATGAAGCAGGAATCAAGAACAGGAAACCACAAAGTCAGATGCCAAAGTTGTTTCCAGCAATGGAACGTAGTCCCTGCACAGTTTATATCTACTCCCCTCTGAGTGTACACAGGGAAGCTCTTGCTGCTCAGCGATTGCCCATAATGAGGCACTGGGCTTGCTTATAGAGCTAGCATTTTGCCACTTGCCCACAAGGCAAGTTACTTTGTCAGAGTGCAGAATTCTCACGCTAGGGAAGTTTGCTCTGTTTCTTGTGGCTTGGCTTTGAGGATATGACAGTTTTATTTTAAATTCAATTCTTTCTGCTCTCTTCGCACAGTTCCAAAACTATTTTTTTACATTTTTATTTATCAGAATGACTGCACATTGTCTCTGATTCTTTCATTGTGAACAGTTCTGTATTTTCCTACATTTTCTTGAAATGGTCTTCTTTCCTATCTCATTCTCATTCATTGTAAATCATTCTGTTGCATGCATTTTTTCTCATTCACTGCTTCTTTTACTTCATTTGGCCTTGCAGATAGTATGATTGTGAATTCTCCCTTTCAGTCTTGTTTTTTTAAAAAAATTTTGTACTTTGCTATTCTGTTCTATTTTTCTTTTAATAAGTTGGTTTTTTAAGTTGTAAGCCACTCAAAATTGTTTGGGAATTGGGTGGCCTATAAATTAAATTAAGTAAATAATTTCACTAAGCAGCTTTTTTATACTTCACATTTCTCTTATATTCTGGAACGTAATTCTTTTTGCTGCGTTCCAAGCAATTTCCACAGCTATTTTCCACCTTAATGTCCACTTTTTATTGATTTTCTTGGGAGAATAATCTATCTTAAGTACATTTTCATATAGAACCTTCTCTTCCTGTAGTCATTCTAATTTTACTCTAGTTCCAATTGTTTCCTTTTCTTCAATGGCTGTTTTCCCCATTGCAGCATCCATTCTTGAAAAAAATAATGGTCTGTTCCATATTCAGAACCTCAAATTACCTCATATCCTTCACTAATTGCTTCAATTTTTCATCATAATTAAATCAACCATGTTTATGTGTATTCTTGTCATGCATAGATATGAATGAGTTTATGCATAAATGACATGTTTACAATATATTTTCTTCTATTAGATACGCATCAAATTGTCATCATCATCATCTTCATTCATTCATTCATTCTTGGGTCTTCTCTGAATATTCAATTCACTTTTTTTTTCTTTCTGCCTTGTTGCTATCATGAATTTATGTCATTTAGCAGAATAATTTTCTCCTTGAATTGAATTCATTCAGAATTTTTCAGTTTTTCCCCCAACTCATCATTGTTTTTTTTCATTATCACTATTCACTAGGGCATAATATACAACTATTAGCAATCTATAGATGTTTACTTTCATACCTATTACATCTTCTTCCTCATAGACATACCATTAGAAGAGATTTATTTTTTTTCCTTAATTCAGGTTCTTTACTATTATTTCTCTTATGTAAACTGCAGTCTTCCATATGGTATAGCTATCGCCAGATTGGCCCATACTTTTTGACTTCACTCGTCCAAGATGGCTTTCGTTAATCAAGGTTTTTACATAATGCTTTTTAGTAAGATATAGAAAGCATAGATTAGGTTATCAATCTTGTTATAACCCAAGCACATTCATCTTTAAAAATAAAAATAGGTATGTGTAAAGAAAACTAGCACAGAAAACTTCCTGAAGAAATGTAATAGATAGGGAAGTAGAGTAGCAAGGTTACTTGGGGTAAGTGTTCATACAATTTAGTTACTCATTAAATTAAGACAATAAGCCTAAGATTTGGACAATGAAGAAACTATTTTAAGTAGGATCCCAAGGATCTCTTTGGGAATTTATATCTTTTGAACAGCCTGACACAGTGGTCAAGTCTGTTGATAATTCCAAAGAATTTAAAAAAAGAAAGAAAGAAATGAGATTCCAACCGTCTCTCCAAATTTTTTTAAAATGATAATGAAATAGTAAATTGGATTCACTGTAAGTAAATATTGATTGTCATAAGTCATGAATTTGCATGCACAATAACTGGAGTTGGGCTTGTGATCAGAAGAGGAATTTTAATTATGATAGAGAGTTCAATGAAAATGTTAATGCAGTATGTGATAGCTGTGACAAAAGGTTAATTATATACTAGGAAACATTAGAAAGAGATTTAAAACTTCTGGGACAGCTATATTTGAAATTCTACTAGCAGTTCTTCTAACCATACTGGTAAAGACTCCTTGAGTTGAGTTCTGCCCCTAGTGACTATGTGGACGTAGTCATGTAGTTTTCTTGATAACAATTTGGGAGAAGTTTGCTATTGCTACATCTGGGATGTTTTTTAAACTTCCCAGTCTAGCCTACAGATGTGAGATTTCATTGTGATCTCCTACCCAAATATTAAGCCCAATTCTTATCATTTTTTGAGATCAGATCACTTCAGATAGAGACTGCCACCTGGTGAGGCTGTAAATATTTAGGGGAACACAAAATGTGAAGAATATAAAATGTACAGGGAATCATTGTGTTGTACATTCAAATGTATCACTGTATTAATATAAATATCAAATTACTATTTGGAGTCAATCCTTTGACCAAGTTGCTTGCAAAACATGGCTTAATAAATCTCCAAACCAATGTGAATTTTGTACAAATAGTTTTTGAAGCATACCCGTTGGACATCAATGTTCTACAAGCCATTGGGTAATCTAATGTTATTAATTGTTTGACTTACTCTTTTCAGCACTATAACCCTTTCCCAGGGGCAGTTCAAATTAAAATGTCATTTAGATTCAATTGTTTCAATCTGTGCTATTAAATCAGTCAATAGATCATTCTGCTCTTTTATTGTAATAGTTGTAATAGTTGAATTACAATTCAACTATTGTATCCCTTGTTAAAATGATAATACAGATATACAATGATATATTTTTGTTGTTAGAAATCTCTTTTTAGACACTTTTCATATAATTATTGTAATATTTTCCCTTGTCCTCTTGATTAAAGGTTAAATTTTGCTCTATGCTTAAATTAAAATTATATTCAGAAGACCCAAGTTTCTGATTGCATCCTCCTTCCAATTATAATTGCAATTGAACTTAACTTCATAAGAATGTAGGCCCTTGTTTAGTTATTAAAAGAAAATTAATACATTAGGTCTTTTGAAAAAATCTGTAGCAATTCAGACCACTTACATGCAGTAAAATTTAAGTGCTTAAGCTGGATTAGAACTACAGAGAGATCAAAGTAAATCACAAAAACATAATGCTGGTGATAGTAAGGAAGGAACCTTTCAGTTTTGCTTTCTTCCACATTAAAAAAAAGTTAAATCTCTGCTAATTATAAAGAAATGTGCAAATCCTGGAAAGTTTCAATATATAGGAATGAACAAATGAAATGACTTTCTGTGCACCTACCACATAACTATTAAAGAGAAGTAGCTTTTGAAAAAAATCTGGTAGCAACACAAATTCTGCATCTCACACTATTTTATATGCAAGTAGTCCTTGATTTACTACCACAATTAAGCCCAAAATTTCTGTTGTTAAGTGAGACATGTGTTAAATGAGTTTTGCCCCCATTTTATGACCTTTCTTGCCACTGTTGTTAAGTGAACCACTGCAGTTGTTAAGTTAATAACCTGGTTTTTAACTGGCTTCCCCATTAATTTTGCTTGTCAGATGGTCGCAAAAGCTGATCTCATGACCCTAAGGCGTTGCAACTGTCATAAATATGAACCAGTTGCCAAGCATCTGAATTTTGAACATGTGATCAGGATGCCGCAGCAGTCATAAGTGTGAAAAAAATGGTCATAAGTTACTTTTTTCGGTGCCATTTCTTATTTTGAACAGTCACTAAGGAACCTTTGTAAGTCGTGGACTACCTACACAAGGGTTACAATTCCTTTAGAACGAGACAGACATTTTGCCCATCTAAATAAAGCTTTCAGATCTGGTTTTACACGCATTTGGGTTTGTTTGTTTTTTAATATTTCCCTTTAGATTAAGTTATGGGGGCGGGGGGAAGCTTTTAAAAAGTTTTTAAGTGAAAGAAATGCTGATGTCCATGGCAGGACCTTCTTAGACACAGCTGTTTAGGGTCAGGTGTCAAAGGCTTACCTGCTGTGCGTTTCTTTTCCGATGTTAATGTGCTGGTTGGAATTGGCTAAAAAGACCCTCGTGCCATCCATCTTTCACAGCCTCTCAGCAAACATAGAGCCTTTGCAAATCGCAGGAATCACATACAGGATGGATGTGTGTGTGTGTGTGTATGTTTTGTACCAGGCTTTGTATCTCGGTATGGCTGCTTTGCTGAAACAATGAGGAGGACTGCCTCAAATCAAAGTCTGCGTTTGCAGCGCACGGCTCAGGGGGATGAACTAAGCTCACCTCCTCCTCAACTGCTTTGCCAAGTTGCATCAAAATTGCCCTCAGCCAACCATCTAAGATTGGCTGTTTTTGAAGGCGTGGTACTCCTGCCCCAAAGCTTTCCCTGGGCCCCATTAACGTCCTTGGAGGACATGAAGGCCAGGGCTGCTTAACCCCATGTTACTCTTTCACCAGAGTTCCACATTTGCATTTTGGCAGCCTTCCTTGTAGGGAGGAAAATGCTACCTGAGGCCACAGGTTGTTTTCCAAGCTCTGCTGCCTTGTTTTCATATGTGGGTCTCTTACACAACAGAGCCAGCCTGGTGTGGTGCTGGCTTAGAAACTAGGCCTGCCCAAGGCAGGTAAGGCCAGCTGAGTCATTTTGGGCCTGATCCCCCCACCCAACCCAACCCAACCTACCTCACAGGGTTGTTGTCATGAGGAAAATAGGAAGAAGGAGCATTAGTATGCTTACCACCTTGACCCATATATAAAAAAGTAAATAAAAAGCCAATAATGATGAGAAAAAATACCACAGACACGCAGGAGGTAAACAGATGTAATATGTGCATAGCATGATGCTCACTGAGCTGGGCAAAGTGCCAAGTGTTACATAAACATCAAGTTAGTTTTTAACTTACATTGATTTCCATTTCATCTGTCAAATGGAGGCCTCAATCTCAGCTGATTTGAGGGTTCCCTCCTACACAGCCAAAAATATAGAGTGACCCAAACAGTGTTGATTGTGGCTTGAGATTCCTCAGGATGACTGCTCCGGAAAACATCTTTTCCTTGGCACGATTTTGGATTGACTACTGGCTGTAAAAATCCATTTATTTTCTGCACGTTGTTTTTCAAGGCCAGTAGAAAAAATGTTTCATTATGGTTTTGGGACCCTTTGGGACCCTTAACACACAATTTAGTATTTTCCAAATAAGGACTATATTTGCAGCAGAGGTAGTTTCTGGTGTTGCCTGGCCCAATATTTAGCAGTCGTGTAACTTAGTCACAAACTGTTTAAATTTAAAATCTGTAGAGTGGATGGAATATGAGGAAGCTCCCAGCTTAGAGATTACATGCAATTCTAGAGCCAATCCACAATGTTGGAAATTTACCTAGGAACGTGACAGCATGCAGATTCTGAGACTGTAGGGAAATTTTTCTTACTCCATAATACCCCATAAATCCTCATAAGGAATGGCTTTTGAGGAGATAGAAATGGAGTTGATTTGTGAGAAAGGGACTTTCTGAATCAATACATGTCCATCCCTCCATGAAAGGATCCTATATTTATAATAATAGTCCAGTGGTTAAGAAAGGAATAGGATAGGATAGGATAGGATAGGATAGGATAGGATAGGATAGGAT